CCGATTCCTCGTAGTGCTCCTTCGACAGCACTTTTGCCGCGTTTTTCTGGCTTTCCACTAGCGCTTCAATCTGGCTTTCCACTAGCGTTTCAACCTGGCTTTCCACTAGCGCTTCAATCTGGCTTTCCACTAGCGTTTCAATCGAGAGATCCTCACTCTGCTCTCGAATGAGCGTCTCTCGATCAACTCTCGGCAGCTCGCTCCAACTTTCTGCTACAGGCGAGAGCGTTGCAGCCCTCTCTCTCTGATCCAATGGCGCCATGTCGTCTCCCCTTTCTCCGGAAACCGCGCCGGTCGTGTCGGCGACGGGCCGCTCGCGTGACTGCTCACATGACTCATGCGGAAACTTTCCTTTCTGGGGTTCCGTCGACCCGCCGACAAGGTCACTTGAGGGTTCACCGCATGGAACCAAGTCAAGCTTCCGCGAAAGCTTTCGCGCTTGCGATCGCGTGAGAGCCATGCACGCTAAGTTGGGGAAGAACGATTTACCCTGCTCTTTGAGAAGCTGCTCCGAGTTGTTGGAGAAAAGATAAGAAAAACTATCATTTAGCGCGGCAGACACAGCCGCTTCGGTGCGAAGCTCACCGAACGGGCCTTTAATGACAACCTTGGCGATTGGTAAGCGAACACTTTGCTCCTCGGCGACCTGCCTGATCCACGCGCATTCTCCTGTGAAGTCATCCGGAGACACCAATGAAGGATGGACAACGTCCATGGTTGCCGCTGAGTCTCTAAGTGCTCGGCACGTTTTCTTATTCACCCTAATTTCTTGGAGATACGGCTCCAACAACCGAATGTTTTTTTCTGATTCTCGGATCGTTGCGAAGGCAAATTTTTCCTGACAGTTTCTCGCGATGTGTCCTTCCCTTTTGCAGTTGTAGCAGATTAGCGGCTTCCGTTTGTTTTCCGATTCAAATGCTTGTGTGGTAGAAACCTCACTCGATTTCTCCGCTTCTGTTTGCCCTTCCCCTACACTGTCCTTCGTAAGAGACGGGTCCTTCTTGAAATTACGGTGCGGAGCGGGTCTCCGTTGATCAGGTTTCTTTGAAAAGCCCTCTTTTCTCTCATTCTTTTCAACGCGCACTGCCCTGCTGTGCAACTTTCGACGAGTATAATACTCCTCAGCTAACTCTGCTGCCTTGTTTAGCTGTACTTCACCAAGTCTGTCCTGCAGCCAAAGCCTGACATTATCCTCGATGCAGCGGTAGAATTGCTCCAATGCAACGCATTCCACCACTTTATCGCGGTCGTCATAAACACCTTCGCCCTTGAGCCATTCAATTAAATCGGCTTTAAGACGAAACGCGAAGTCAACGTGTGACTCATTCCCCTTTTCAGCATACCGGAACCTTTGCCTGAAAGCCTCAGGTGACAACTTGTAACGTCTCAAGAGCACTTCCTTAACCTCGTCATAGCTCTCAAACGCTTCCCTCGACAAGCAAGTTATCGCGTCGGACACTTCGCCGGGAAGAAGAGCTAGCAGGTTCCGCGCCCAAAGAGACCGCTCCAAAGCGTTTCGCTCACAGACGTGTTCAAACTTGACGAGATACTTCGCCATGTCCTCGCCTACTACGAACGGTGGCAGTTGGTCCCGAATTCTAAAACCGCTGACCTGAACTGTTGGAGAAGCTACGCTAGGCGCCTGCGAACACTGTAGGATTGCCAATTCTAGTCGTTTCAACTCTAGGCGCTCTTGTCTCTCGGCCTCCTCGCGCTCACGACGTTCGCGCCTTTCAACTTCTTCCCGTTCGCGAGCTTCTACTTCTCGCCTTTCAGCCTCCTCACGGCGTGCTTTAATATCCACCCAGGCCTCATCGACTTCCTCAGCCGACACTCCCTCATCCTTCATGATCTCAAGGATCGCTTGCTTTCGTTTCGCACGGCCCAAAGTAATGCCGAGTTCCTCACAAATTTCGATGAGTTCCTTCACTTTAAGGTTCTCCATCGTTCACACTAGCCTCTTGCTGTTTGCCCCTGTTAACAATTTACTTGCCGTACCCACTATAAGTCAACTAGCAAGACGCGCAAGCAACTTTTCACACTCCCGTGTTTACCCCCTCCGCATTAACTTTGGTTTCAAAGCGCTTCGACTTGGCTTGAAACGATCAAAGCTCACTTCAATGCTTCACGCAGCCCTTCTCTAAACTACTACAACCTGAGCTAGAGTAGTCTGGTGAACTGAGGGGAAAACATCAGGCACTCACCGCATCGATGTCGCTGACGCCGGCCGATCCCGCAGCTGCCAACCACTGTTGCGAAGCGCCGGGCCTATCCCGCCGCTGACCTCCACTGTTGCGAACGACGGACCGATCCCGCCGAAGTCACCACTGTTGAGAAAGACGGCGACGCCAACACGGCCCCGGAGGCGCCACTGCTTTCAACTCCGCCGGGAAGGTCACCAGCCGTTTGGTAGCGTATGTTTATCAGCTCGCGACTGCTTCTGCGCAGAGCTGATGAGACGAGCGGACGAGACGACGGTGAGTTAAACAAGGTTTATGTACAGCATATTTACAGAGGCGTTACAATTTCGGCACTGGGGCCGACAGAGACTCGAAGAGCCGAGCTCCCCTCTCTAACACATAGGTCAGCCTTTCGCCTAAGACCGCTGACTCACACACATGTCGGCTCTCCGACACCGGGGACTCCTCTCCCGTAGGACCTCCGATCGCGACGCGCCGCAGGGCTTCTTTTATTTACACCGGGTCCAACCAAAATGTCCATTCAGAAGCGCCGCTGGTCGTCAGGGCAGATTCCGCCAATGGGGGTCGCCGCGCCATGCGTCAGACCACCAAACACGCGGACGCCGGCTCGCTGTCACGCGCGCAGCTGACTCACTGCACGTGGGCCAGAGGGGCGCCGCGCGTGTTCACGCCGTCGAGGTGATCGCGCCAGGCCGACTGCGGGCTGGCCTTGACCCAGATTGCCTTTTTCAGAGGCACGGTCGTTTGACGAGGACTCGCTGGCATAACAACGTCAAGCATCATTTCAAGAGCCTTCTTGTGCGCCGCCTCCTTGCCAAAATCGACAGGAAAGACAAAGGTGGCCTACGAATAAGCCTGTTGGATGCCATCCATTTTATCTCAATGGCTTGGGATAGAGTAACGCCGACTACTATTGCGAACTGCTTTGGTAAATGCAGCTTCTTTAGGATTCCCGAAGAGGTGCCACAGGCCCTTTCAGAGTCGTAGGAGCCCATTTAGGGTTGGGAATGCCTTGATGCCGGGTGTTCGGCTTACGACTTTTGCACGGTGGATGACAATCTTGCCACTTGTGGTGTGCGCGCACGGTGGAAGATATTGTCAACGAGGCTACATGTGAGGTTGCCGATTCCAGCGACGATGACGAGAAAATGGACGAGTGCGACGGCGAAGCACCACCACCGGCGGCTGAAACTCTGTAAGCGCTCGACGTCCTGAGGTGTGCTATGGCTGCTGAAGGAATCAGTGATGACACGTGCACGCGTTCTTACGAATTTCAGAAAAATTTGCTCAGTGACTTGGAAAAAAAAGAAGCAGAAAGACATCAGATATTTTTTTATACAAAAAATTAATTTTTTTCGAGTGTCGAAAAGGAGTTTGCCTCCGACTCGGTGTTAATTTAGCTAGTTTTGTGTGTGTTCCGATGATACGACTTTTGGCTAATACGAATATATTTTGTGAACCCGCGAGATTTGTATCATCGAGATTCTACTGTATTTATCATAACCTAACTAACCTGCACGATACTTCTTTCGAGTTGAAATAGGGGCTCTATGCAAATACTTTTTTTTTTTCCTTGAAAGGAAGTCGAAACAACCTTGATTAGTAGTTTCGGTAGGATCCGAGTGATAACCTGCAAGATACATAACGTTTTAACATTGATTATACTTAAATCATGTAAACCATCATAACAAGCTTAATAAAATGAATAATTGATTTGAGGGTAACATGTTCCTTTGAAGGGGCCCTGCAACACTTTTTCAAGTATCCATGGAGCCAGTAAACATGCTTGTCGCCTCGCAAATTTACCGCCGCAAAGTTTCTAGAATCAGTCCAGTACGAGCAGAGTTCCACAAATTTGTCCCATGCCGCAATTGCATTCTCTATTCTCGACCTGTCAAAAGAGCTGGAAGCTAAGTAGGGAAGGATGGCACGGGAAAAGAAAAAAACATCATGAGCGTCTAGTGACCTTGAGCATTTTTTCTCTCTTTTTTCCTCAAATACGAGGCCTTTCAGTGCGATCCTGCACGTATTTGTGGACAAGTGGCGGCCTCACGTGGTGGTCCGATAACGCCGAGTGCGCCATGCTCAGATCAGCCAATGACTGTGACCAGAGCCGTAATTTCTTTTTTGGCTGTGACAAGTGATTTTTCAGCTTGTAGTGTCATTTGCCGAGGGAAGAGAGCAATTGTTAGCTTTGAAAATTCGTTGTTAATTTAAGGCCCCGTGCTGCGCTATAATACTAGCCTCGCGTGTTCGCGGTAGCCTCGGCTACCGATCGGCAGCGTTTTCTGACCATGCTCAGTAAGTGTTGCTGGGCCCCTTTAAATCTGAAGGAGGGCTTTGCGGCAAAGCAAGTTTCTTCTGAGTAGGTGCTTTCGCGGCTTCGCACTATTACATTGCAGTGAAACCGTCTTTACAGGAGAATAATGTATATTTGTTTGTTCATTGCGAATACTTCGAAAATATTCGATAATTTAAATCCGAATCGAAGCGAATTCGAATACTCAGCTATTCGTTCGAATATTCGAAGCATTCGAATATTCGCACAAGCCTAGTAGTTTGTCTCCTTCGTCTAGCTTTGTTCGAGCTGTTTATAAATTATGCATCTATACCAGCTAGCCCATCTTGGCACTTTGTTGTACGTCAGCAAGAGGCAGGAAAGGGTACCAAGTACACCCTTGAGTTGCTTTGACGGGCTCTGCATAGTTAGGATGATACCAGATTTGCCAGTAGAAGCACAGTTCAGCCACAAGCTGGTTTTACTGTCTCGTTCATGTGCCCAACTTTGTCCGACGTCAGGTGACAAGCTGGTACAAGGAAGGCGAGACGTACGACTCGGTCTTTGGGGCTCTAGGCTCGTCCTACGAGGAGTGCCGGGCAGAGTGTGTTGGGCTGTACCTCTGTACGGTCGAAGACGTCCTCAAGTAAGTCGACACCCGCTATTGCTATGTCAGCTGTTTTAACTGCTCTCAAACCCTGCTCTAACGAAGTTGCATCTTACTCAAAAATAAGTGTTATATCTGAAAATTCGTTATAATGTTTCATTTCGTACACTGTATCTAATGCAAGACTATTCTTCAATGGCGTCTTTTAACCAATATCGTATTTACTCGCATAATGAAATCACCTATTTATTTATTTATTTATTTATTTTATAATACTGTCAGCCTTCTCTTGAGGGCTCTTACTGGGAGCGTACAGCCAAATTCAAACCAACCAATCTGCAGCTATGTCAGGTGTTGCACAATCAAATAATACATGTGTAACACTTTATCAAATCGGCAAACACTGCCTGCATTTATAGCAATGCCTGGCTGCGCATTTCAAGTCATAAACACAGCTGGGAGAGAAGAAAACAAAGGAACTCAAACCAAGAAAACATGTAGGCTTATCACCTGGCAGCTCAAATCGCTCAAATACATGTCCAACAATTTTTCGAATTGGCAAAGATCGCTTGCATTTGCTGCTATGCCTGGCAATGCATTCCAAAGCTCAATCGCAGCTGGAAAAAAAGAATAATGAAACACACCACTGTGACAAGAGTATAGTGTACTAAAACACAGTCGTGATTAACCCGACTGCTTCGTTTCTCTGGCACTTTTAAGTATATATCTTTCTTCTAGAAAAGTTGGAGCTGAGTTCGGGGCAACGTTACTAGAATAGCTTCAGTTGTAAAACTCTCCGCCGGCGCCCCTGCTGCCGGTGTCTCCACTCCTCTGCCCGCAGCCGGCTGCGGCCTAAATCTCTTGCGGACGGAGTGTTTGTGGCTGTTTCACGCGTATTTTCACGTCTTCTGGCGTTCTGCGTTAAAGAATTTGGGATACCAGGTGAAACCGGTATTTACCCACAGCGGCTTGGTATATTTCCTCGCGTATATCACTTCAAAACTGGGTCTCCGCCGCTGTTTCAGGAATGTAGCAGTTAGATACACGGGTACTTTTAAAGGCAATTCGATGATGCCCGCATAAAGTTTGTGAAAGTGCCAGAGGCGCCCGAAAAGTGTTTACACTCTGGCCAATTCACACTTCATTCTTTACAGGCTGGTATCGTGTGCCTGTGAAAGATGTGCGGCCGTTCGCCTGTTTCCGCCACTATCAAATGGTGGCTAATTCACTCCTGAGAAGTAATGGGAAAATATCTCCGTCCCGATTTTTAAAGCGGAGATTATATGGCTACGGTTCCATGTACTTTACTGTCTGGGGACGAGGGCTCCCACTGTCTCTGAAGCGCGTGATGCGTTGGAAAAGGAACGTCCAATGTGTTTGCTAATAACACGCAGTCACCACCAAAGCCGCACGCCGTTAAAAGCGTGATTTAGAACCCGAGCGTATACGGCTAATCAACAGGATATGCACCACCGTCAATATTACAATGTGACTTAGATTTTAATCCTTCTGACCCTTGGATGTGCACTTTGAGGTGATTACAGTTAGTAACCACTATTTTGCCCCGCCGCGGTGGTCTAGTGGCTAAGGCACTCGGCTGCTGACCCGCAGGGCGCGGGTTCGAATCCCGGCTGCGGCGGCTGCATTTCCGATGGAGGCGGAAATGTTGTAGGCCCGTGTGCTCAGATTTGGGTGCACGTTAAAGAACCCCAGGTGGTCTAAATTTCCGGAGCCCTCCACTACGGCGTCTCTCATTATCATATAGTGGTTTTGGGACATTAAACCCCACATATCAATCATCAATCAACCACTATTTTCAAAGTTGTTGAAATAAAAGTGTGTGCGCATGCGCACATGCATTTCTATATTAGAAATTATCGCCATCCACGATCACGACGAAATATTGTTCTTACCTTTCTCCTATACTTCGTATCAATTCCATGTCGTGTGTTAAAAAGCTTTCGTGGTCATCCACCTTTACGTGAATGGAAAGGTTCGCGAGTTTTTTGTTCTCTGTATGTTACAATGCGACTTCATGTGATTGGGGTCAGTTGTCAACTAGCTAGTCAAAACACCTTTGATTTTATCTTATTTGGGTCAATTGTCAACTAGCTTTACGACTCAGAAAACCAACAGTCCTACCGTTAAGAATCAACAACTCGCGTTTTGAAATGAAATGACTTTATTTCAAAGAAAAAAAAACAAGCGCTATTCAATGGGAGATATTCAGGGGAAAAGGTTGTGGGTACGCAACTTGACTGGCCCTAAAATAGATGGCAGGCTGCAGCGGAGCAGGAACACATAGTGCCAAGGGAAAAAAATAAATAAAAAGAAAGAGGAGAGAGAGAGAGGAAGCAATGCACAACTGACAAATACTACAGGTTACAATCCCAGAATTTCACAAATATATATATATATAATGTGGACATAGCTATAACACCTAAGCAAAAACAGACAAACAATGAAATTTCCTTCACACAAGCTATGTACAATATAATTTCTGGCAAAGAAAAGTGCCCCCAGGGTGGAAGCCTACAGCAGCTTTGCCCGCTTTCTCGCTGCCTTTACTTGAGCACTGGAACTTCGATGCTGCTCCAGAAATCTGGAGTAGAAGTGCATGCGTGTTGCAAGGTAAAATTTAATAATGCGTGCACTGAGCTCCTGAAAGTGCAAGGGGCACCCAACACGACTAAGCGTATTTTCTGACAACTATTCTAGAATTCTCCAGAACAGGTCGCCAAAAACCTGGTTTGACTTAGTGTGCAACAGAATAGAAAGTTGGGCGAGTTGGTGCGTATTCATATTCAAAGAAAAGCGGCGCACAAAAAAGACGGAGACAAAGATTCTTGTTGCTCGGATTAAACTTTCAGTTGTGAGTGCAGCGCTGTGTGTGGTTCTCTTCTTTGTCTCCGTCTTTTTTGTGCGCCGCTTTTCTTTGAATATGACTTAGTGTGCCGCTCTATGACGCACTCGATGCCTGACAACATGCACGTTAAAGCTGCAGATGGATGCTTAAGAGCGCCAGGCACAAAAGACCTTAACTCAGTGAGGACGGCGGCAGGTGCAGCATCTGATGCAGCTTCCAAAGTACAATGGCAATCACTGCAGCTCATCATCTTGGCTGCCTTCTTAACAACGTAACCGCCAAGATAGTACAGAACAGCCATAGATGCAGCTGAGCGGCTGTCGCTGCGTTGGAGTGCATCGCCATCCACGTCAGTCCCCACCACAACACATTTTTCAATTTGGGGGAGCCTTCATTGGGCTGTAAGCGTGAAACTCACCATATACTTTCCATCGCTGTCCTCGAGAGTAAGCATTCGCCACAAAGACAGCAGCTGAACGCTTTCCAGGTCACTCAAAGTAACTTCCTCAAAATCTGCGCTCCAAGTGGTCTGAGTTTCTTGCGCATCTTCACCCTGAACTCCATCAGAAGGCGAAACCGAAGGGCTAACTGTTTGGCCTGTACTACGTTCCCTTCTTTTTTGTTTTTTGTCCGGCGGCTTCGACAGGTACTAGGGAAGGTTCAGGAAAACTTTCGGAACCGCACCCTCTACTAGCGTCCACTTGCCCCGTGGCACCTTGACTGTTTCTCCATTGATAGTGTGCACATAACACTTTCGTATGTCCTGGTCATAAAAATGCAGATCACACACCTTTGATTTTTCCGCAAGTTCCCGGTCGGCACGCGGAATCGCTTTGTTCCACACCGAGAGAAGCGTCGCGTCGCTGGGAGCAGAAAAGCAGGGGCGTTCTGACTTATTCGCATCGTTCCGGTAGCCGCTCGTGCAGCCAGGAACGTAGCACATGGATGTCGGGAACACAACACGTCGGCTGGTGTGCGACGAAGGCTGCAGTAACGGAAAACCACGTGCGAGCGAGCGAACGCTGCGCTGGTCTGGCGCTGGTGCCGCTCGTTGACGCGGCCGGCGGCAGGGGAGAGGTGAAGCTCGATGCGACTGCAGCGCCACGAGGCGCACGGACAAGCGGCGGTTCCGCGCAGCTCCGCCGAGTTTTACAACTGAAGCTATTCTAGTAACGTTGGTTCGGGGTGTGTTTAGTACACGGGGTAAATTTTATGAAAACTTTTTCGGGAGAAGGAAAAAATCCGGTTATGGGGGGGGGGGGGGTTAGGCCGCTTAGCCTTTCGCAATTTACATACGCATACACAGCTTGGAAACAGCTTCTTTGTTGCACTTTACTCATCTTTGGTGGTTGATGGAGCTATCTTCTGCAAGCTGTCCCCAGGCCGCCAGCGTAGGCCATAAAAACGACTATGTTTTCTTGCAGTCGTTTAACCGCAATAGTACTATCTGCTTGTGATCTCGAGGGGCGCCCAAAAGGGTGCACTCACAGGGAAATGGAAAAAATGAAGGGGCAGTTATAGTGTAAAAAAAAAAAAAGAAAGTAGGTAAAAAAGAAGGGGGGGGGGGGAGGGGTTTCGCAGGAAGCAGGACGGGCAGTTTGGTGAATTTAGCTGGCTGTGTGCTTATCAGCTGGATGTCTCTACACTGGCACTGCTGGTGAACCCCACTGTGGCGTACAGATAATACGCGCAAAGATAATAAGAACAGCAATAGGCGCAAGACAACGGGCGAGGGGGGAGGAAAGGAGCAAGTTGAGGTGGCTGAGGGTGGTCGGCAAAGTAATAAAAAAACGGAAGAGAGCCAATGGGTTAGGAGGCGGCAGGTGTCGGTTAGCCGGACTGCAGCGGATGAATGTAGGAGGTGTGTTTACTATGCGGGGGGGGGGGGGGGGGGGGGGGGGGGATCCAAATTTCGATGACTGAAGTTGGGGGTGGGTTGAGTGCATTAATTATGTAAGTACATACGGTAATTTGTTATACAGTTAAACCTGGATATAATGAAATTGACTGATTTTCAGAAAATTTTGTTATAAAGAGGATTTCACTATAGGCAAGTTCGGTACAATAGATATAGTATAATAAATGCACAAATTAAAACCAAAAAGATAACTGAAGGCAGAGCTACCTCAAAACACCTATTCAGCAATAAAAGAACTGCATTACTGTGGTAACCATTATATGAATACCCTCGGCGGGTTTTTGTTATGGCCTCCATGTAAGAAGCACAAAATGACAACAAGCCCCCGCGCATTGCAACTTTTACAAACGGGTAACAACGCGCGAGCGCTGCTAAAGCAAAGACCAAATGAGCCGTCCCATTTGTACTGCCTGGAGGGGGCATACGATAACATCCCCACGCATGATAGAACCCGTCTTCAACGAACATAAAAAATTGTGCGGGGGGGGGGAAGGGGGTTTTAAAGTAGCAACGATGAACTTTCATTTTGAGGCCGCGCTTGCAATCACTATCGTGCTTGCTATATCACGAAGTATCGGTGGGCTTTCAACGTGAAGGGACTGTGAAAGGAGCCCTTCTCCCTGTAGTGGCCATATTTTCTTATGCACTAGCGTTCTGTAGGAGTTATGCATTATTGGATCCAAAAGTGTTGGCTGCCAGCCACACTCCGTATCACATTACAATTTTTTCATATAGCATTTATTGTATTACATTCAACGAGACGTGTTTTTGCCAGAGCTAATTGGCTAATTGCAGAGGGTATGGTACAGGGAACTTGCGGTGCAAGACGGAAGCGTGTGATGAGTCGACCTCCGAAGATCAGTCGTCGTCACAGTGCTCTCGGGGAGTTTCCATCGCCGCCTAATCTTATCAAGTTTCAGTAGACTCCTATTAAATGAAACTGTCTTAAATGAAATTGCTGTTAAATGGAACAGCTGCCCATATTATATTTGGTTCCGTACTTGATTATGTCCCTGTTTATCTCTTAATTCATTAACGAAACTCCTCTTGAAAGAAACACATTTACCTGGTTCCTTCAGGTTTCATTTAAAAGAAGTCTACTGTATTTAATGTTGTTACGAAGGGATGGATAGCTGCCTGGCATGTTCAAGAAAGCAGCGGCATCGTTGTGCAAGTTACCATTTCTTCAGACAACGAAAACAGCCACTCAGTAGACACATAAGGGCTGACGTGCCAATCTTACCATCATAGTTTTTTTTAGGTATCTTGAATGAACACATATAAACATGTTTCTTAATATAACGTGCCCTGTTTAACACCGCAGTTTTGACAGTAAGTGAAGCACGGAGCTTTCATGTAATTGTTGATGTAATACATGAAGGCCAGTACATTTTCTTAAGATCTACCGCAGATGCATATGGCAGGTTTACCAATAAGTACAGTGAGGAATATTATAAAAGAAGGCAGTGGGCAGGCTATAATTAAACCTGCCTTTAACAACCTCCATGGAACAAATTCCTTGATATTACAAAGCCTTTTTGTTCCCCGCCATTACTCCACAGGAGGGCATGTATGTGCGACCTCTATGAAGCAAAGTAGCTGCGAAAGACACCTTCGATGTAGAGCACTTCCACTGCTGGCAACCTCGAATTTGGCATACACATGTGCTGGCAGTAGGCTGTAAAAAGTAAGCTCATGGGAATAGTGAATTCTAAGTTCAAAGTAAATAGTGATTTTGATCGAATAATTTCTAATCAAGTTCGAACACTATATATATATATATATATATATATATATATATATATATATATATATATATATATGGGATATGGCACAACGGGAGCGTTGTCAACAAGGATATAACTCATCCCCTGATGAAGGGAGGTCCCCTCCCGAAACTGTTGGGAAATAAATATATTTATCCTTGTTGACAACGCTCCCGTTGTGCCATATCCCATACCTTCACGAAGACTAACTGGCCCATTGAATTATTACTCTATCTATATATATATATATATATATATATAAGGGAAAGAAGTGTATACCTAAGGGCTCGTTTTTCCGTGTTTTTAACACAATAATAATGAGATATAACAGACAGTAATGCCAAGGAATGTACAGGGGAAGTTATTAACATTAATGGAATGTAAATAAGAAGAAAGAAAAGTGGATGAAAAAATTACCAACTGTAAGCAGGAATCGAACCTACGACCTTCGAATTACGCGTTCGATGCTCTAACCACTGAGCTATTACAGCGGCCCTCCCTCCATCCACTTTTTTGGGTTTATCTGTGAATTTAGAAGTAGGAGCGACAGTCAGCGCCATCTATAAGCCAAACAACGAGTGTGAAAACACTCTTATGCGCATGTTTGGCGTCACGTAGCACGTGAACTTATTATGAGCGGGCAGCTGATTAATTGTCCCTCTTATACAACCTAAACACACCAAGTCTGCCAGTACGAGACCCTCGTTCAATGAAATAAGGGAAAGAAGTGTATACCTAATATATATATATATATATATATATATATATATATATATATATATATATATATATTGCATATTATAAAAAAACAGGGGCATATTTGTCATGACCAAACTAACCTGCACAATATATTAAAGAACTGTAACAAGGCCTCTGCAAATGCGGTTTTTTTTTTTTTTTATCAAATCATGAGACAACTACTTTGAATAGTAGCAGGAATCGACCTTCGTTAGAATGTTAGCGACAGCCTGTAATGTATGTTACGTTTTAAAATTTGTTATACTTAGAGCACTTAAATTGGTATAACGAGCTTCTAAACTAAAAAAATAAAAGAAAAGAATCGATATGAAGGCAATATCTTCATTTAACCTATAAATGGGGCTTTGCTGCAGTGTGAATTTTTTTTTTTTTTTTTTTGATATGTGTTATTACAGTTAAGCACCACTTCACTGCAATGACACCACTTTTCAGAGTGTTACATGCAGACTAATATGCATTTGATTATTTGTTTTGAATAATTCGAAATTTCAATAATTTAAATTCAATACAAAGCGAATTTTAATACTGTATTATAAGTTCGAATGTTCAAAGCATTTGAATATATGCACAAGCCTAAAAAAGGTATTTGCATTGGCAGCACCTCTCTTTGGCTGTTGTGAAAGTCGCTGAAATGCACTTCGTTAACAGACACTAGGTGGCTCAACTAAAAAAATATTATTTTTTCGTGCCGTTATGGCAGTCATGCTTAGAATTCATGCAGCACATGTGTATTATAAGTTCGAATATTCAAAGCATTTGAATATACGCACAATCCTAAGAAAGGTATTTGCATTGGCAGCACCTCTCTTTAGCTGTTGTGAAAGTCGCCGAACTGCACTTTGTTAAAAGACACTAGGTGGCTCCACTTAAAAAATATTATTTTTTCGTGCCGTTATGGCAGTCATACTTAGAATTCGTGCAGCACATGTGGGGCCACGCCACACAAGGAGAGGACCTTTCTTAATGTCCTGTGGTGTCCGCGTTATGCACTTCTACGGGATTTATTTCCTATTGTATACCGATATAGTATTTGATTTAAAAGTTCAAATACTTAGAATAGTAAAATTCCCGTGCAAATCAAATCGAATAGAAATCGTTATTAGAAAAATATTGAAAAAATTTGATTATTCACACAACTTTAAAAATTATATATATGTGCAGAAATGATGCTGGAAAACAGCATGCAAGCAAGCCCTTGCATCCATCAGGAGGTGCATTTTTTGCGCCATTTCTAAATGGCATCAAGTGCTCCTATGCATTCGCCACTGCATGGTTTTGTGGAGTTTTTATTATTTGTTGGTAGTCCATATTTTAATAGCTTTTTTGTTGATATATTGTACCATACACACTTAATTAATGAGTGAGATCAGTTGTCAATGTTCTTTTAAAGCAAGGGTACTAAAACTAAGCTTTTATCATCTTGGAAGTGTCATAATCAACTCATTAAAATAAAACTGTCTTATTTTCTTGCACATGACACCCGCCCCCTCCTGTACTGCAGTTAAAAAAAATAACAAGAATAAAAATAGCACTATTCCGTGAACTCACCTTCATCTCATTACAGTAAAGTAGTGCCATGAAGCCACCTTGCACACTTCATTTTGCATATATAACTCTCAGCTCGACCTGTGGGAATTGAGCGCATCCTCCCCTTAGACACCTCGTTGCCCAGCTATTGCAGATGCTTGTCCTGTGCCGTTGAAGCCTGGTAACCGCCGGTAAGGACCGACATGGCTGCCGTGGCTATGTGCCGCCAGGCCTTTTTGCCTGGTGCAGGCGATGAGTTGACCTTCCCTGTGCGAAGGCACATCTCTGTACATGTCCAGACAATGCTCGCCACACATCGGGAGTAGCGCACATCCCTGCGCTTGGCCTGTCCTTATTGGCCACCAGTGACAACCTCCCCTTTCCCCTGAGCTCACTTCCGTCTGGTGCTGGTTCATCGTGTCATATGCTCTCAGGCCAGCGTGAGAGGTTAATGTGCCCGCTCGGACCGGCGGATCCTCGTCCGTGCGCTCAACTGGTGCGCTTTGCGTGATAGTCGTAGTGCCGGCAGCAACCGTACACGTATTCAGCCTTGCGGAGTTTGCCTGTTGGCCTGCTAGCCTGTTATTGTGGCACTGTGCTCTACCTTGGTTTACTGAGAGTAAACTGCATTTGTTGACGTCCTGTTTCGAGTGTCTGTCCTGGGTCATGTTGTAGAGTCGACAAATTCCGCCATGCTTACATGCTATGGAGAGTAGAATGTCGCGCCCTTCCCAGTTGTTTTCGTAGGGTGAGCCTTTTGCGAACCTCCCATCTCCACAATGGGTTGACGTCACTACACTGACACTCTGAGAGCAAACATGCTCTTACACATAGCGTTCTGGAACAGAGTGAGTGCAATAGATTCGCAAAACGCAGATCTCTGTGGGTGATCGGTAGGTGCCATGTTGCAATGATCATCGCATTTCTGTTAGGGTATTTGTATTTAGTTTCCACTTGAACATTTTGGTATTGGTGAACCCTTAGCAGATGTCAGCATTACTGTGCATTCTCCTACTCAACAGGCTGTTTGGCTTTGAGGGTGACCTGGGCCGGGACGTTGCGTACGTCAATTGGCTCTCCATGGTGGTCAAGGGAGTCGAGGGAATGCAGACGTACAACCCACACACCAAGTCCTGGCTCCAGGTAACGAATGCATGTTCCAACACACTGGCAGCCTGCCTTGTTAACTTCTCCACGACTGCTCGAACTGGTGAAAGAAATTAAGGGAGATGCTTTTTTTTCTCAGGATTTCTAGCTTTTGTGTCTAGTGGAACCTAAACTATGAGTTTCCTAGTTTCACGACGACCTGCATCGCACAACTGATCGGCTTAGTCCCAGTAACACCCTCATTAAAATATTGCATTAAAAAGTATTGTTTACACAGTGCAGTTTTGTGCTGACCTACCTCATACAACACCCCTCTTGTATCGTCCTCTCCTTTTTCGTATTGATGCAGAATATAAAAGTGTGTTGTGTAATAGACAATAGTTTATTGTTTTTATGCTTCTCTAATTTATTTGACATTTGATTAATTCAGACATTTTTTCCAGTCCAGTGGAAGCTGTGTACACAGTTGTGTACACCGCAGATTTTTTTCTAATTTCATCAAGTATAGGCCAAGAAAGTGCAGATATATGTCGTACTTTAGATGTATTGAACTTCCTGCATATAGAATTTGTCTTCATTTAGCCTCATTTTGCAGTGTACTGATACATATGACCACTTTTCTAAAAGCACTAACACGTTTGACGAGTCGTGCGACGTGCCACTTCCTGCAATGTGAAAAGAAGACTTTTTTGTTTGCTCAAAATGGATACAACCAAAAATGAAGTCGTACCATGATGCCAGCCTAAAATTTTATTCTATTCATGCCAAAAGTATCTATGGCTTCAGGGTAAAGATATATTTAATTGCAGCCTAATTACCGCATTTACTCGCACAATAGGCGCACTTTTTTTTTTCAGAAAATTGGGCCTAAGTTAGGGGTGCGCCAATTACGCGGGGTAAAATTTTCGAAAATTTTTTCAACTCGTTTCTCGTGCTTCAAATCTGCACACTTGTCAAGTAAAAGGCGTCTTTATCGTTTACCAATTCATTCAGCATAAAACAAACATACCTACGTACCTTTTAATGAACAAGCGAGAGCCGTCAACTGCACACACACACGTAAAATTTATTTACACAAAAGTCGTAGCTGTTCCTCCTTTTCCCTATTCGGAGTCAAACTCCGATTAGGGAAACAAAACAAAACTGTGGAAGTCCACCACTTAGTCCTCATATGCTGCGGGCAAGCCCTAGCACAAGGTGGTCCGCCTTCGCAGTGCGAGGCCATGGCGCCTCATGAAACGAGTTGTCCATCCGGAGCTGGCTTTGAACTCTTTTGCTTCGATGCCCTGCGCTCGGGCTATTCTGCGCGCCTCAGTCTGCGCAATATCCAACGACACAGCACAGCCGTCTTGTCGTAGCTCCCGTATATGCCGGACCAGTTGCTCTTCGACGTTCGGGTACCTGCCGATCTTGGCACCGCGGAAAGCCCGTCGTGTCTTCTTCGTCGCCTTAAGTTTTTCTTCTTGGTCCCTCCAGTACCGAATACTGGTTTCTCCAACGCCGAAATGCCTGCTTGCAGCCCCGTTGCCGTGCTTCAGCGCGTACTGCACTGCCTTCAGTTTAAACCCAGTTGTGTAGCTCGCGTACTTCCCCATGGTGGAACCAAAGTTCAATACACGACCACAACATACGCACACCGCTTGCAAAATGGCGTTTCTTTCTTTTTCTCTGATGGTGGTGATGGCGATCGAGCCCCCGGCGTTGTACACGTGACCTCCAAAACGCGCGGCGATTTGGGGGGTATCAGTAATTGATGGAACAGCCGTTTTTTTTTTCGCTCATGGACGTTTTTTTTTTTTTTTTTTTTCAAGTTTTATTTCGACAAACACGTTGGTTAGGTCGTTGCACTTCGAATTTTTTTTATTTGCTCGTCGATTTGCCTTCTTTTTTTCTTCAGGGTACGGGGACCGCGTTCCAACTGTACCGCTGGGGGGTAGAATCGTTTCTGATCACGGCCAAGTTCGGGGTGCGCCTATTATGCGCGGAATTAAAAAAAAATCGAATTTTCCGCGACCAAACTAGGGGTGTGCCTATTATGCGAGTGCGCCGATTATGCGAGTAAATACGGTAGTAATAGTTGCCATAACACTAATGAATACCAGAATTATCTCGATATTGTTATTACAATAGAATATTGAATGCCTAAGTAGCTATTTGAGACGTTTACAGACAGTTCTTCATACGTCGCGCTTGAAAGAGTAACAATGTTTTACTGTAAAGGCAGTTGTTCTATGTAAACAGTTATTTCTTTGAAGAGATTCTTGCTAACTGAGAGTAAACTGTATTTGTTGGCAGATGGGTACCCATTAGGCTTGTGATTGTTTTCTAGTTGGTGCCATGATAAAGCGCATTTTAATGCAGCGATGTAAACATTGCCATTTTGAGAGTGCTTTTTTTTTTACAGCGCTTCTACGTAAAGATTCAAGACGAGTTCTTGTGCCTTACTGGGTCTGTGCTTTTCTTACAGGCTCACTCGCGTGCCCGGTTTGTGATCATGCGTGTGCTTCTGGAGGCAGGCGACCTGGTGCAGATCCGCAAGACGACAGGCGAGGATGGCAAGCCGGACTTGCTCATTACCATTGACCGAACCAAAATCCTCTCCTTTGGCCGCCCCTGCATCGAGCAGTTCCTCCTGAAGCTACAGGTAACTGAGCCGGTTGCCTTGCAGAAGGTGTGCTCGCCGCAGTGGTAAGCACAGGTTTTTCGGAAGTATGCACAGGGAAGTACAGTAAACTTCTGCTAACATGACTCCAGTCAATATGATTGTGAGTGAAAGTCTCTTCTTGAATCCCATACTTTCCTGCAGGGTCAATGGTTTGTTATTTGAGTTCAGAAATTAGCCTTAAAACATATCAATCTTGGCTCGTTTTCTTACAAACACGTTACCTTCTGTCTGTATTCTTAATCATGTGCTCATTTGCCTTCCTTGCAGCTGTTCAAGTCAACGGCCGACCTTCGTGCAGCCACGGAGATGTACGACCGATATTCTGAAGTGAGCGATGTCGGCCAATATCCCTTCCTGAAGTATTGGGACATCGTGATGGCTCGCAAGAAGCCCCGGCGCATTTTCGTCCAGAGCAACACAGTTCTCAATGGTGGGTGTCCCACTTATCAGTTTCCGGTGCAGCTGTTCGAAAACATCTGGAGTAGTCCTCTGTAGCTACTAGTATCAGTTTTTTTCTTGGTTTCAAGAGAGATTGACCTGAATATAGTAATCATATACTTTTATAATAGTGTCATTTACATGTTTTCAGATCAATATTTTCTGGCAATATTCAGATGATGGGAGACCTTTCAGATAGTAACTAGATTAAAGTTCTTTCCTCGAGTTCACTGCTGCTGTGTGCTTGTAAGTAGCTTAACGAGGTTTTTTTATTTAAGCAGCTTGCACTAACCCGCTGCATTGTTACCTACTCACTTACTTCATAAAAGTATATGCATATCCAGTAATGAAACAAACTTGCAAGACTTCTTAACTCAGAGCATGGCAGCAACCGAAATTTTGGTTGCAGTGCTGGCTATAAGCATTGCATGTGTACTCGTATATGTACTTCTTTAATACAGACATGTAAAATTAATGTCATGGGTGGTTCTAGTATTACCTCCACTTTTTATAGCAGTCTACTAATGATTTAATTTTAAATGCATAGCATTTCTTAGCGAACCCAAGGCACTTTATCGTTTCTATCTACGTACAGTAGATTTCTTGTAAATGAAGCTTAAGGGGGGACGTGGCAAGTAAAACTAATTTTTTTATTAATGTACTGTTTGTGATGAAATTTGGTGTGTGTATGTGGATGATTGTGAGGATTCCAAATATGAAAACCGTTTTCAAATACCTCTTGTACTTTATGAGTTACAAGCATAATTATACTAATTAATGCTATTCACACTTAAAGAGATAATTATTGCTAAATGAAATTATTTTTTCATATTATGATGTTCCCAAAGCATCAACTTGTGCAAAGAAGCTATTAGTTGATTTTTCTAGTTCTTGTAACCATAAATAAAATTTCCAAAACATGGATGTTGTTTTGCACACACATCGCAGTAATTATAAAATGTGTTCTAAGAATTTTAAATGATGAGTAAGAAGAGAGATAAAGCTTTATTGCACTGCTAAAGGCCTCCTGAGCCTAGTGCAAAAAACGGAACGACTCTATCAGTCTTTGTTAGAAAATGACAGATGTTCTAGCGAAGGCACATAGGCGAAAATCAAGAGTTGAGAAAACTGACTTTGAAAGTTCACTCTTGTTTGGAAGTTCACAACATGCCTAAAACACTCAGAATCCTCCTGGGCAGTAATCCTGAGATGCTGTGGCCTTGGCCTCTGTAGAGCGCAACCCAGTTTTGCACTTCTTTGTCGTGGAACAATGCACCTTTTGAGCCCTCTTCACCCTTTTGGCATCCTTTTCGGCTGCTCGCCGCAAAGAGCAGTCTCCTGGATTGAAGCCCAGTTGAGCAGTGAGCTCTTGCAGCGCACTCTTGCAGCCACCATTGAAACGGCAGACTGCATCTGCCACTGCACTTTCCACACTTCGAAGGGAGGCGAACTGGCTCTTGGACTGGAGTGACCAAATGAGGCTGTTCATACTCTCCACAGCGTTCTGGGTTTTTCCCTGCGCACACCTTTCAAGGAGCTCTTTGTTCGAGAGGCGCTTGTAGATTGGCAGCAGTGCCACTCGCACGTGAGGGGGCAGTTTATGTTTGTGAGGCGGCAGCGGCTCTCCCTTGGCCAATGCCTGATTGTGCGGGCACCAGGAGTCAGTCCCACTTGGGCACAGGTCGTGGTGTGGATCCTGGTCTGTGGATGTTACATGGTAATAAGTGGCCATGATGGCCCTCTCCATGCCAGGAACATCGTTGGGGTGGCTCTTAATGGCCCAGCCATAATAATTCGTTAACTTCTTTATCAGGCCCTGCGTCAGCCGGCCTTTGCCACCCATGCTCAGTCCTCGGCCTTTGGATTTGTGCTCATCAAGAAGGTTGCGCAAGGAAGTGCCCATTCTTTTTTTCACATGGTTCACACACTCCTGTTTCTTAATCACCATGTAGCCATACACCTTGTCTTGCGTGAGGGCAAGGTACGTACGACTGTCACCGTCGCAGAGCACATTGATGTATCGAAGCTTGTACTTGGTAAACGATCTTTCAAACATGATCCTAGCTGCTTCTACTTCCATTTGGCCTGCATTAGCATCAGTGTTCTTTTGGCACTGTGGCTTGTGTTTCTCAAGCCACTCCTCATAGTTGTCGTCACCAGGCTTGGGGCCAACAGCACAGCCTTGGCAGTAGTTGGACAGGACACAGTGGTCCAAGACCAACCAAGCCTGTGTACAGCTCGATTACACAGCCCACGCCAATATGACTTCTGTGCCCCCTCGTCATCCACGTGCCGTCGTAAATGACGTCAATGTTGCCTGGCACTCCTCCTAGGTCCTTGTAAATGTCATGCACCTTCTGTGCACTTTCTGGTTCAATGCGGGTGGCAGCTGATGTGGTGGCAGGGTGGCTGTACTTCCTTTGCAGTCTCTGGTAGGACTTGTGGTGCAGTGCTCGATGCGAAATGTCCATCGCAGAAAAAATGTCATTTATGGCAGATTGTTTTCTGCCAACTGACTGCACAGCCCTCAAAGCACGCACGTTTACCTCAAAGGTGTTCGTTTTTTGTTGCCCGGAGCACCTCGGGGACGACCACGCACTGTTCACTGTGCCACAATTGTCACAAAAAAGTTCCATCCTCGCCGCGAGTCCAAGGCAGTGCGTAGTCTCGAGGCGTATCGACCCTTCGTCGCACTTGTTGCACTTTACTGACGAAAGCAGACCGTTCAGCATCTTCTTATTTACAATGAAGAATGTGGAGTCCTTACCGCCGTCATTTTCGTCGCAGCCTTCGCTCAGAAGCTCGAGCTTCCGCTTTGAAGCGGACTTCGATGCTACGGCATCCAAAACATCCCGCCTTGTCTGCGCCCGCTGCGCGATTTCTTCACTGCTCGGAATCTGGGCCGAAACTCGCGATAGAATGTTCGACGCGCGCACGCCCGGAGTTGCAACGGCTGCCGACGCGGTGCCACCGCAATCGGGTTCGCGAGAGCGTCCATCACGGTCGACGGCATCCGGCGGTCTGACATACGACGATGTGGCACCTTCCACACTCTCGGCCTCACAACAATCAGCGAAGGGTCTGAGTAGAGGCTCCGTGACGCTCGAAGAGCATGCTCCGTCCGGAACTGCGACTGGGACGGCAGCCGCAGTCGTCTGCCCTTTGTTCCAAGCTTTCCGACGCTTGCCGTACTTGTGGACGCTCCGGAACTTTTTTTGCGGCAACATAGCACCGCCGTATGAGCAAGCACTCAGAAGAGACCACCGATGTAAACAAAGCTTGGTAAAAAAGCACGCGAACTATCACAAAACAGCAAACTGGCAAAAAACGAAGCGCACGCCGGATGATTCTCGGCACGGCGGCCGCAGATGCGCTCGCGCTTCCAAGGTTGCCAAGGTGCGCGGCGCAGCTTTGACCAGTAAGAGGTCGCGCCTGCTACCACGTGACCCGCGCAGCCAATTGCCGTTCTTCGTTTTCGTTTTTTTACTTGCTCCTCGCGCTTTTATTTCACTCGGCGAAATACGAGACCGCGACCATCGGGAAGCCGGCTTTCTCCTCTTTCCAAAGCTACCAAAATGGCGGCCCACAGTCAACAACTTGGCGCGTTTGTGCGGCGTGAACAACACCGTTTCAGGGGCTTTTTTTTCGCACTTTTCGGCGACTAGCCTCGGCAAAAACACTATTTGCGGGATTTGTAGCGCACGTTTCGCTGTAATATTTTAGAACAAGGAAGTTGAAGGTCTGAAGATTACGAAAAAAAATAAATCAGAAAATCGCATATTTTGACCAAAATCGGCACTTTACTTGCCGTGCCCCCCCTTAAAGGGACCAGGAAAATGGGTTTCATTTAAGAGGAGTTTTGTTTTCTGAGAGATAAACAGGGTATGTTCAAGTACTAAACCAATCATATTAGAGGCAGTTGTTTCATTTAGACAGCAATTTTGTTTAAGAGAGTTTCGTATAATAGGAGTGTACTATATCTATCTAGCTGGACATTTTCGGGGATCCTCAAGGGACCGCGAAAATGTCCGGAAAATTGGGTAGTTCAGAAAAACAAATGCAAGCGATAACGCACTTTTTAAATGGGTATTTTTCACTGGTGGAAAGGGTCACGGCAGGAGTACAGGATTCTCATTGTAGTTAAACAAATGCAATGGAAAAAAAAATATCCAATGTGGTCGGCGCCATCAAATTAGTAAACACGTAGGTGCAAAAAAAAAAAAGTCTCTTTAGTTTTCTTGGCATTTTACTTGCCCATGATGACGTCTGCCTCAATTTGATGTAACATCATGCTGTTGCTGTACACTGATAAGTGTCAGCGCTTGTGCAACTCCTAACACATTGGCTGTGTAGGTGCTGCCTCTTCAATCTCGAAGTCGTCCGAATCCTCCACAACTTGACGAATGATTTCATGATCAGTCAATTCTGCACATAGCTCAAGGTTTTTGTCAGCGCCGGCAAAGCCCTCAAAGGTTATCCCGTTTGGCGTAGAAACACCGGCAGCGTGCAGATCGTCGACGGCAACATCCGCGGGTGAAATTTTCTCGTGTACACTGTCCACTCTGGGCGGTCTAGGCGTCCAGCATGGAGCTCGCGTGGCGAAAACAGTTCCGGGGGCTCTGTTGCATAACTGCCTTCCACGAGTCTGCAAGCATGCCGACGGCAGACCATAGGCCAACAGGGTAGCTTTTCCATGGCTTTTCCCACTGTCGAAGTACAAGCTGTACAGCACCATGTTACTGTGGCCACAGGTTTGATTAAGCTACGACTGGCAATGGTGTCCTAGGTCCCGTTAAATCGGGAGGCGATCGCCGAGCTAATTCCAAGGGCCGAAGTATCAACCCCCCGAACCGCACCACGAAAGCGTAGACAATTTAGAAGTAGTCCTTTTTTGGCGCGCCAGCGGACGTTGGCTGTGGCCCAAAGAACAAGTCAGAGCCGAGAGTTGATAAACAAAACAAAATTATATTCTCAATAATGGCAGATAAAAACGATACGCAAATATGCACACTCAACAATCGTTGAATACAATATGTCACCAATCAAACAACGTACTACGCAGTACAATCAACCGCACTCGAAACAACGGACACAGACAACAATACGCACTACAATGCAGTCGCATGCATCGAACAACCAAGACACTTAAAGACTAAAGTGTTAGTAAACTTATTCAGTCCAAAGTTCTTGGAACAAAAGTCTGAATGATACTCTTCCGAGAATCACTCACTCAAAGTCCAGCGTTGTTGTCGTTCCGCTGCCCTCAAAGTTTCTCTTCCAGGAAACCTCGCGTCCTCAATTGGCCACTCTCCAAGCTTCAAACTTCTTCGCCGGAAACGCGTCGGCTTCACACTCGCAGCTGTTGCCACGCGTCTTCGCTCGATAGCGGTAGAGACACACTCTTGCCTGTAGCTCGAGTCGTCACCCCTCAGGTGGAAATCCTCTTCTTCTCCTGCTTTGTCACTACGGACAAAACCTTTGCCGACTACACGGCGCAATACCCTACGCGCTCTGGCGCTAACTTCCGTCTTCTCCTGATCTCCCATCTCTGCTGCTCGATTGAATACCTTCCGCGCGAGATTCCAAAAAGTTCTCATCATTTCGTCGGCGCGATGCGCAGCGAAGGCTGGGGGAAAGGGCGAGACGAGACGGGGGCCGTCCGCGACGGATGACTCAACCCGGCATCACCACGCCCCTTTCCACCGAGAAATTTCGAGGGCTTGCTCGGCCGCCCATGTGGGGTGAGGAGGTTCGTCGGCGAACCTACGCTTCCGAGGGGAGAGGGACGCGTGCCTGGGGAGTCTTTGGATGCTTGTTTTCTTTTTTTTTTTATCGTTGACCTCGCGGCGTCACTCCGGCGTTTCGTCGCGAGAATTTGGCGGCGCGCCCTTTTTTTGAGCGCTCGTTTTGTGACACTGCCCCCACTTTAAGAATATTATCTCATAATATTCAAAACCACACAAACGAGCGCGAACAGTCCCCACACTCTCAAAGACTGTAACCTAGTCCGTCGCTCATGACACGTCACATTCACAATAGATCACTCAATACAACTGTACATTACAATTCAATCTCAAAACACGTAGAATATAGACACAGGTACATGAATACAATACTCCATCACATACTTCAAGTAATGCAAATGTACAAAGGTCTGTCTTTGCAACAATTTTACCATACTATACATTCCATCACCATAACAAAAATTTTGATTCACTCGACGTACAGTTGAGACACAGGACAACAACCATATTAACTTAACATATAGCACTGTCAAACACATTCCGAATCAACCTCGACACCTATCCGGTGTATTTCGAGCGGCGCTTGCGCCCTTTCTTGCGGCGCTCTGTCGATCTCTTCTTACTGTTTTTGCTCGTTTTGTTCCGGCGAGCCCCTTCCAACGACGGTATCTGAGGCGGCGTCTCAGCCATCGTTGTCACTTCCGACACCGCTAACGGGTCATGACGCTCAATCGATCCTGCCTGGTTATTCACCCGCTTGTTTATGTCACGACATTGGGCCTGGCTGGCCGACTCCGTCACCTTTACACTGTCGGTCGGTTGAGGTCGTGCGGACGTAAGTCCAGCTGCCCAGCACGTGAACTCATTCAATACGATCATCTTCTCATTCGCTGTCTCTTGCGCCCAGGCTTCACCTTGGGCTCGAGTGAGATCCTTCACGGGATTTGTCTCCGCTGTATCTCGCGGTCCCTGTGTCAGCGGAGGCTCCATCTTCGAGTCTTCTCCCAAACATTCTGGATCATTCGGCCCTCACACCCCGTCGATGTTTCCGATGACGAGGTCGTACGGGGGGGTCGTCATGCATGTACTTCTGTACATGCATGACGTCAACTGTACATGTACAGATGTCATGTACATGTACATGTACATGATATGACAACTGTACATGTACACGTACAGGTGTCAACTGTACATGTACTTCTATGATACTACAGGCATTATGCCGTGTTGGTGGTGGTTACATTATTGGTAACCACCAATAATGGTGGTGGTGGTGGTGGTTACATCAATGGTGGTTACATTATTGGCTCCGCCTTCATGGCAGTGTAATAAACATTACAATTATATTCTCATGAATCAGCATGCTGTACTCAAGCATTGCTGAACCACGGAGGAATACACTGACGAACGCTATGTATGATGTTCACATCATTGCACTGTAGTGTCTTCTTTGTTTCGATAACACAGACGTTCCTGGTATTACGGGACTGCCGATATCGCATCAGACCATTTCAATGTCAGTCGGTGTGCCTGCAAGCCCTCTATTTAGAAAAACATGTCGATCAAGCTCGTAATGCTAGGCTCAAAGCCAGAAAAGGCATCGTAGGACTACTAGCTGACTGCTTCGCATGAAACTGAGCTCTACAATTCGTGCAATGTGCTGAGTTTTTTTCTTTTCGTCCTTCCTTTTTCAGAAAATGTATTTTGCATCATTGTCATGTGCACCTAAGGGCTGCAAGCACCAGCTTGCCCTAAAAGAAGTTGCTTTGAATTTTCCAAATGATTATTTTGTTGGTGTTGTTATCGCAGTCTGTTTTTATCATACTGTCCTGTTATTGAGACATTTCTTGCTGCACTTCTCACGTAAAAAAAAAAGAAAGGAGGGAATCCTGGCAAGTGTAGTTTCCATAAGACCCCGGAATTTCGAATAATGGGGTTTTGATACAGTGCAGGGAATTTCCAATGTTAGCATGTTTGTTATACATATTTGCAACACATTCATTCATTTGAAACGCTTCGAAAGCCTCGAACATTAAAATTTAAGCCTTGAGAAATATTGACTATTATATTATTCCTCAGATTATTTGAAAGTTTTTTATTCTCTGAAACTCGTCTCAGGTGACAAAGTGGAGCTCAAGGAGTACGAGTCTACTCCAGAGGGTCACCTGCAGTCGTGGCTCGAGCGTTTTGACGCAAGTACAGCCAAAGAACTCGACCGGGTCGTTCTGGACTTGTGGAAAAAGGACAAGGACCAGTTTTGAAGATTTTACGTTTAAAGCCATCAACACTGTCTGTTTCATCGTGCAGTCTTCAAGGTTGCACGTGATGAGGCTTACAATCGCTTGTGCATAAGACAATAAACTAAGTATTGTTTTGTACATTTTAAAAGAAGGCCCAAAGACATCTGAAGGCAACAAGTGTCTGCGTGGTATAATACAGCAGCAGCCTGGCTTGCAGAGCTACACTAAAACTTCTTTCTGTTAACGAACCTGGATATAACAAAATATCGAAGAAAATGAAGAATAGTCTTTGAATAGTTGCAGTGTTAGGAACATACGTTTATAACAAATTTTCGGACGTAATAAACTTATTTTCGTGCGAGATGCTACTTTTTTGTAATTAAGTTTGAGTGTAGTTTATTGTATAGTGCATTCAGCTCACATTCAACAATAGGGCTTAGAATCATTGGGTACGTAAAAAAACCTACGACAGCCTCACTAGTGTGAAACTTTAGGAAGTGTGTCACGCGGGCAACCAGGCATTCCTGTTTGTCGAGTTCCCACTGCTCTGTTAAAGGGACACTAAAGGCAACTATGAAGTCGATGTTGATTGCTGAAGCAGTGGTCCAGAAACTTTGTAGTGTTACTTTTGTGCCAAGAAAGGGCTTATTTCAAAATTAAATCGCGTTTTAGTGGTCCGCATTGGGTTAGCGCACCTCAAATTACCCTCTTTAAGAAGCGGGCCATCTCGCGTCACTGTTGCCGTTCACGTCTGCCGGCTTTACTGCATGGCCGCCGAATTTAGTAGCAGGAGAAGGAAATTGGCGCAAGCCACAGCAGCAACAACGGCCATGGATCAATTTCTTGACATTTGTTCCGAGATGGCAGACGTGTTTTGGTTCAACTGGGCCCCGCTAGATGGCACGACATGGCCAGTTAAAATCACGGGAAAATTGAATTTTTGAACCACTTGCACCATTCCTCATAGTAACGTCTGGCGATATATATATATTCATAATTCAAACAGAAACGAACAAGCAGCATTTTATTGTGTTTCTTAGTGCACGGAAGGTTCATATTTAGGGAAGGTAGATCGATTACTAGTGATTAATTGTAGGCGGTTTGTCTGATGTCGTCGGCATCATTTTGAGAACGTCCTACTGCGGCGCACGTATTTTTGTGTGTCTACCTTAATTTCTCGAAAAGTATAGGGCACTGCTGTTGATAATACTGTCAATGTAAATTTCATACACTGAGCTTTCACTCTGACATTAATTTTTATTTGACTTTAGAGTCTCTTTAAGGAGCTTCGCCGCTAAAAAGGATAATCACCAAAAAAGGATGGCCATACGGCCGGCACAGTCGGCGGCATGCCACTGCTCCCTGCCTTGGTGCTTCGCTTGAGGAGTGTGTGTGCTTTCTTTAGGGGCGAAGCTCCTTATGGCGTGGCTTGTGCGTTCCTCGTGGTACGGAACACCAGTGGCACATACCCGAAATAGCAGTCCTTACGATTTTGACCTCCAAAGTGGTTCCAGTGAGAGATTTCTTGTGTGGGTTGTTGAACAATAAAAGATAGTGCTCAATGCACATGTTAATGGCTGCAAAGGGGGAATGAGACACAGGAGCATTCGGCCTTTAGGTAACGCGCACGCTGCGATCCCCATTAACAGCCATTGGCATGTACATTGAGCACTATCGGACAAGAAAGGGTTGCTACGTTATACTCGCTGGGTGTAACCTCCTTGGTTTTAGAAAGGTTTAGCGAGCGTTGGGCCGCATAGCCATGAATACAGTGAACTAGTATATACCATGAACTCGAGGTGGTTAAAGGTGGGAAGTAAACCCGAAGCGCAAGCCGTAAGAAAGTGTGCATGTGCCACCTCCCGTTTAGTCCTTGAAATGTCCGCTGGATGGCGGTGCTCCTATATGGAGAATATATGATGAAAAGATGCGAGATGGTGATACTTGGAGTGCTGAATAGATGGACGCATGGACACACAGACAGATGCATAGATGGACGCATGAACGGACGCAGGCGCGGATGCATGGACGAATGCAAGGACGGACGCACGAACAGACGCACGCACGTACGGGTGGATGGACGCATGGACGGTTACACAGACGTACGCAGGAACGGACGGAAGCAAGAAGGAATGGACGGACGAATGCTTCGCCCCACTCCCCATCATTCACTCCCTGGATATGCTGCCATTTTTTTTTTTTCACCAGACTTCGTGCACCATCAGGCAAACGTGGCTGCATCAAATTCTTGGCAAAAGCGATGGCGGAAGCAACGAGTCCGTGGTTCTCTAAATTATTCCATGACGAGACCGTTGAGCCAGCGCCTACTGGTTGAGCGAAACTGCACCCGTGTAAGCGCGGGCCGCTTCACGCAACGATCAAAACTGAGTGATCACCCTCGGGCTAACGCGGCAGCAAACTCGATGGTAGCTGGAAACGGACGACAGCAGCGATTGCACTGTTATGGCCGCTGCAGAAATGCTATTGCGGAGCGATGCCTTGTGCGTTATGACACTGTCCTTATCGTTGGTGCAATACTCGCGCCTCACTGATCGCTTTGATAACGAGGACGAAGCGCGAAACGGGCGTCGTTCCGCAATTCCTCCCCTGTTTGGACAAGGTCGTGGTTAAGAAGGCTAACGTCCTTTGGAATCTGCGCTTGTTGTTGCTACAGGCGCAAGAAGGGAAAGACGCTCAGATGAGACGAAATAGCAGTGAACACGTGGCATTATGTGAGGTGAACGAGAAAGCACAGGGCCCCTGGTTGCTTGCTGCGGTCATCTCTGCCAAAACAGTGCTGGACCGCACGTTTCATGGCCGATGCCCCGTGGTGGGTAGTGCCATTCTCCCGGGAATCATCATCATCAACAGTGCCGGAATCCTGCTGCGTGTCCAGGTCGCACATGATTTGGACTTTTGACCCACACGTGTCAGCACAGCAACACTTCTTCTGCTGGCCTGCACGAAAATCTCGCTCCCACTTCAACGGTGATCCCTTCGTCGGGGCGTACAGCTACCCTACATGGCCTGGTCAAGTGAGTTTCATGACCTGGTCAAGTAAATTTCACGAAGAAGGAGGTGTGATAGACGTAAAGCACTTGACTTGATTTTAGTTGCACCGCTCAGTGTACGACAATGGTGGGCGCACTCCACGGATGTAAGCTATAGGCGCCTCGCCGCCGTCGGCTGCTGACCCGCAGGTCGCGGAATCCAATCCCGACTGTATTTTCGATCGAGGCGAAAAGGCTGCAGGCCCGCGTGCTCAGATTTGGGTGCACGTTAAAAAAACCCTATGTGGTCGAAATTTCCGGAGCTTCTCTCATAATCTAGTGGTGGTCTTGGGACGTTGAACCCCACATATCAATATTTTAGCCAGGCGTTTGTCGAACTCTATGAGTGCTTCGCTTGTTGCAACGTGTCGCTGCATGAAAAATTCGCGCCGCATTGAAACTGCAGTTTTTGTATACTGCGCTTGCAATAGCACGCTAATACTACTATAAATGCGACGGTTACTAAATGAACGTGCGAAGCGATCGATGAACCAGATTTTGCCTGGATGAATATACATGCATGACGCAAAAAAGACGGTGAAGAATTGAGAACACGAACTGACACACACGTGGCATACACGTCTTTGTCAGTTCGTTAGTGATTGTCAGTGGGCTTTCTAACGAAAAAAAAAGTGCCTTGATTTCGTCGTGGTCGTTTTGCGCAAAACCTATTCTTTCTCAACTCAGCAACACGCCTTGTTGAGCTACTTTCATGAGGTACTATGGGCGACAACACTGAACAAAATTCGCTTGTTAACTTTACCACAATGCGCGCTTGTGCAACTACGTGTACCTGGCAGAGACACTCAAGCTCATAATTATTTCGTAATGCAGATAAATGCAAGCGCTAGAAGGCTTAAATAGAGATACTAAAATACATTTGCCTTTGCATCAACGCGATAATCCCGAAATACTTTTGCAAAAAGAGGAAAAATGTATTCCAGAATACAGATGCCAGAATAGAATATTAGGGAATGCTGATGCTCCACGAAGACATTCATTAGATGCCTGCAGGATACTAGCGTCATTGCTTTTTCACTGCATTTAATTTTGCTAGTCATACCTGACACCATGGTCACTAGCGAGCATGAGTGAACACATATACTATACATTTATTCTATATAGACACAAGACTGTCATTAATGAGGTGGTGGTTGCCTTAAATGCAACCGAGTAACACCATATTTTCAAATGAGCTGTCATATATAGAAGATCGGTTCGGACTTGCTAGAGTCGTGAAACGACTTGCTGCTCGGGAAAAATTAGTGGGAGGGGGAATCTGCACTTGCCATTGGAGACCATCACTTTCGCCGGCAGAGTATTACAGTACTGCGTCTCCGCGAATGTCACGGCGTTGTGTGCTTTGCCGCATAATATTTTTGTGCTTTGAGTACGGCGCCCCTCGGCGAGTGGCGGCGTGCATTTGCTTAGCTTGGCACAAATTTTCCGTTTGCCCCTAAGAAAGCGTCACCTCATTTCCGGAAAAAAAAAGTTAGTCAGGTACCTTTGTCGTGCACAGTATAGCGATATGTTCGATACACCATAAATGTATTTCACTAGTGATATACGAATACATTTTTTTAAAATCAAATACAGCTCGATACATAAATACAGACACTGATAAGTATCTCTTATGTACTATCTTGCATACTATCGCGATACCAGGTATTGCGATGCTACCAAGTCATGAGGTACGCACAGACATTGGAGACGGTCTCTATAGTTCTTGAGCGCTCGCAACGACATCAGCGTCTGAAAGCATGTAAAGTACAGAGCGCTATAAATGTGTAAGGTTCACTTTATGCACAGAACCAGTGTTCACCTAAAACATGTTCCACTAAAAGCATTCCTGCAGAAATTTTTGGTCGAACCCTGATGCTGATATATTAGTGAAGTTGACTAACCGATGGCACCAACATTTGCAAAAAAAATGAATGGTTATAATGTCGATGGTTATAATGGTTATAATGTTGGTCGATGAAGTTAATCATAGAAGTCGTAAGGTTTCAACACTTTGATGGCGTTGCAGAACTGGTCAGCGAAGTGGTCATCTAATGTGAATCGGTCGTTCTTCTGAAGAGCCCCCTTTTTTCGGTAGAAAAGTGGCTGTGCTGGCGATAAGTCATTGTCGTATAGGAGAAGCTAAAGATATAATGCAAGCTATTCAGTCAGCAATACTTCGTGCCCCGAATCGTGCATGTGGGATTAGCACGGTTTTATGCATGCACTTTTTATTTGTTGCGCTGGTACGCCAATCCATTACTGCAGGCGGAAAACATTCAAGCACCTAATGCTTTGCTGCATCACAACTTTAT